ATAATTACAATAAATAAATAAATAAATAAAAATAAAAAATAAAAAACATAGTAAATTAGTTGTATTAGCTAATTATTTAAATAAACAATTGTTATTTTTTTGTGTTTATACATACATAATAATTTTTAATAACTGAATAAAAATTATTTTAAACAACCCCCCTTCCCCCAACAATTTGTTTTCTTGCAAAGATTTCTGCTTTGTATCATTCCACCCGACATTCATTATGTTAGATGGATAGAACAATAGATAGAACAATATATATATATATATATATATATATATATATATATATATAATGATGTAATGATGGTCAAATGGATGGTGTTACGGATGAATGGTGGGATAGATGGTCGGATAGATGGATGGGTGGATGGATGGACAGATGTTTGGGTGGATGGATGGTCAGATGGGTCGTGGGATGGATAGATGGTCAGATGGGTGGTGGAATGGATGGTCAGATGGATGGACGGATGGATGGATGGATGGATGGGAAGATGGTGGAATGGATGGTCGAATAGATGGGTGGATGGATTGATTGATTGATGGATGGTGGGATAGATGAATTGATTGATGGATGGATGAATGGTGGGATGGGTGGTGGGATAGATGGATGGATGGATGGATGGATGGATGGATGGATGGATGGATGAATGGTCGGATGGATGGGTTTATGTATGAGTGAATGAATGGTTGGACGGGTGGTGGAATGGATGGATGTTCATTTGGACGGATGGATGGTTGACTGGGTGGGTGGATGGGTGGACAGATGGTGGGATAGATGGTCAGATGAATGGATAGGTGGCTGGCTGGATGAATGGGAGAATGGATGGTCGAATGGATGAATGGATGGATGGTTGGATGGATGAATGGGTGGTGGGATGGATGATTGGATTTGTCAATACCATCATTATTTAAGAATAATTTCTGACCTTTGACCTGGTGTGAACAAAGCATCACATGACAGTCGTAGTAAAAACTCACACTCTAGCATACAAGCACTCTTTCGTCTAAGCACAAAGAACTCTCAAAGGAAAAGAAAGAGTCAGTGAGTGGAGGGAGGGGGACAGAATACTTAACCTGGTTATGAAAGACAAGGTCACAATCTAATATTAAAATCCTGGAATTGAAATTGGGTAGAAAGGATGATAAAGGATTAGGTGAGCGTGATTTAATTTGTGCTGTCCCCATCGGGCGTCTGGGCGATGGCAGTGCGGGACGGGACCGGGAAGAAGGGGCGAAAGGTTAGCGGTGCGCGGTTAGCCTGCTGCTATCTGAACCTCCTCCCCTGACGTCTGATTTGCCTGCTGATGTTATTGCGGCCACAAATTGGACCGGAATTTAAAATTAATGCAAGTGAAGGAGATATACGCAAATTAGATCAGCAAAGAAAGCGAAACAGCCACGGGTTATAATTTAAAAGCAGTTAGACAAGGTGATCTAGTTTGTAGCATTATTGGTTTGTTGACGTCAATGCGAGTGACCAAAACCTTATATCAAAGTATAATTAACTCTATATATCAATACATCACATCATTTTTTTTAATCAGTCTGGCTTGTAGGTTGCGTGCACAGACTGTTAGAGAAAAATCAAGTGTCTGTTCTTTTTTGTCTTTCTAATATGTACTTTTTGTTTCAAAGGGTTTCAGATCTAAATATGCGTCGCTTCAATCTCGCCTCATGCTTGAACATTTTTAGGTTGTTTGTGTTTGGGACATTAAACATTGTACGGATCACTTTCTTCTGTATTTGTTCAAGTGTTGTTTGCTTTGTGTGCGCGCGTGTGTGCGTGTGTGTGTGTGTGTGTGTGTGTGTGTGTGTGTGTGTGTGTGTGTGTGTGTGTGTGTGTGTGTGTGTGTGTGTGTGTGTGTGTGTGTGCATGTGTGTGTGTGTGTGTGTGTGTGTGTGTGTGTGTGTGTGTGCTGCTCTGAGAGACAGACCTTCATTGTTCTGTCAGATTAAAGCTTGCTTCTGAAACAGTGACAGACAGTGACATACCAGAGATGCACATGGATCTATAGCAATAAATGTTGTGCAAGTTGGAGAAAACAACAACATACTTACATTTGTTCAGAGATGTAGTTTCAGGGATTGAGCCATGTTTAATTTAATTTTATTTCATTATACTTTATTTTATTTTATTGTTTCCTTTTATTGTTTTCTTTTGTTAATTTATGTTTATTCAATTCGTTCATTCGATGTTTTTTTGTTTGTTCGTTTGTTCATTCATTTGTTTGTTAGTTCATTCATTTGTTCGTTCATTCATTCGTTCTTTCCATTCTAATCCATTCTGTCCATCCGTCGCTCCGTCATTTTAATGTTTGTTCATTGTTAAATGAATTAGTGAATGAACGAATGAACAAACAAATTAAGGAACAAGCAAAAGTACAAACAAACAAATGAATGAATGAATGAAAGAAAATAAAGCATTTATTTTTTCACTCGTTCGTTCAATCATTTGCTTCTTCATTCATTTGTTCATTCGTTCATTCATTCATTCAGTTTTTTTTTTAAATTAGGAATCATTTATTTGTATTATGGTTGTATTATAATATTGTTGTTGCTGATGATGTTATTTTATTTTATTATATTTTATTACTGTTATATTTTCTTTTCTTTTATTGTTGTCTTTTATTTATTTATGTGTTTCTTTATTCATTCGTTCCATTCATTAGTTAGTTAGTTTTTTTTCATTCTATCCGTCAGTTATTTCGTTCGTCTTTTTAATTCCTATTCAAAGTCTTATTCATAGTTAAATGTATAAGTGAATGAACGAATGAAGGACAAAACGAACAAACACTCGTTTGTTCATTCGTTTGGTCCTTGATTCATTTGTTCATTCGTTCATTCATTCACTTATTCATTCATTTCTTTTTTATTTAAGTAAGTATTACTTATTTGGGCGACATGGTGGCGCAGTAGGTGGTGCTGTCGCCACACAGCAAGCCTCGGCTGGGTCAGTTGGCATTTCTGTGTGAAGTTTGCATGTTCTCCCCACGTTCACGTGGGTTTCCCCCGGGTGCTCCGGTTACCCACTCAGTCCAAAGATATGCGGTACAGGTGAATTAGGTAGGCTAAATTGTCTGTAGTATATGAGTGTGTATGGATGTTTCCGAGAGATGGGTTGCAGCTGGAAGGGCATCCACTGCGTAAAACATGTGCTGGATAAGTTGGCGGTTCATTCCACTGTGGCGAACCTGGATTAATAAAAAGACTAATGGAATAATTACAATTAATAATAATAATAATAATAATAATAATAATAATAATAATAATAATAATGGGTAAAATACATTGATGATTTTCCCATAACCATTTACGGGTCAGTTAGTACACACTAGATGACATCAGGGTAAAAGTGGTCACTAACTCGGTGTTTATTTCCACCATGTCTATGCTGACAGGCCTCTTGTGGCTGAACACTGTCAGTGAAGGTGCCCTTCAGACACAGTCTTAAGTTCACATGTATGTTCATTCCATCTCTCACTGGAATCGATGAAGATGAAATTGAGTCTTTCAGGTCACTAAACACAGAGGTCAGGAGAAAGTCCCTGCACAAAGGTCATTCAGTCCCTTATTGGTGTATATTTTTCATATGTTTATATTCTGAAACAATTGATTTTCTCTGAAGTTAGTTTTTAAAGTTAGTCAAGACAAAAAAAAAAGAAAAATGAGTGTGTTACCCTTTGCAGGTACAGTAGTACAGTACATGTATAAATATGTAATGATGGATGGATGGATAGATGGATGGATGAATGTATTAATTGAATGAATTGATGGTGGGATGGATGGTGGGATGGGTGGTGGGATGATTGGATGGTCGAAGGGGTGCTGGGATGGATGGATGGATGGATGGATGGATGGATGGATGGAGGGATGGATGGATGGATGGATGGATGGATGGATAGATGGATGGATGAATCGATTAATTGAATGAATGGATGGTGGGATGGATGGACAGATGTATGGGTGGATGGATGGTCAGGTGGATGGTGGGATGAATGGATGGTCGGATGGGTGGTGGGATGGATGGATGGTCGGAGGGGTGCTGGGATAGATGGATGGATGGATGGATGGATGGATGGATGGATGGATGAATAGATGGATGCATGGATGGATGGATGGATAGAAGGAAAGTCAGATGGGTGGTACGATGGATTGTGGTATAGGGGGTTGGATGATGGAATGGATGGTCAGATGGATGGATGGAAGGATGGTCAAATGTGATGGATGGATGGTCAGACGGGTGGTGTGATAGATTGTGGTATAGGGGGTTGGATGATGGAATGGATGGTCAGATGGATCGAAGGATGAAAGGATGAAAGGATGGTCAGATGTAGTGGGATAGATGGCCATTTTGATGGATGGATGGTTGGATGGACGGACGGACGGACCTAGGGACGGATAGATTATATATATATATATATATATATATATATATATATATATATATATATATATATATATATATAGAGAGAGAGAGAGAGAGAGAGAGAGAGAGAGAGAGAGAGAGAGAGAGAGAGAAGATATACAAATACACAATGGGTTTCTTCAAACTAGACCTATGTGTGTTTTTGTGTGTGTGAGAGGAATTTTAAAACAAACTGCTGTCAAATTTAATCAGTACAACACAAAAATCCAGCCTCAGGTAGACCAATTACAGACAGACACACTCTATGGATGAAACCTCCTCACACAAACACACACACACACATGCACACACTTTGTTATGGAGTTTTGTAAAGCAAGAAAATTTGAATTCAGTAGCACTGAATTTTTTTAAATATGCAAATGGAGCTCGTTGTTTGGAAATATTTATATTCGGGATGGATTCAGAGCTCAATGAGTCAATATGTTCCTGCTGCATATTTGTTTCGTTCAGACTGCATATTTTTTACAATGCTGTTTATAGCAAAAAAATACATTGTGATATGTCATAAATATTATGTGCACTCCTGCAAAGTAAATCTGCAAATGACCTTTATTGTGTTTTTCTTTAGGGTGGAAAGATCCCTGTGAGATGGACCTCACCGGAAGCCATAGCGTACAGGAAGTTCACCTCTGCCAGTGACGTGTGGAGTTACGGTATCGTCATGTGGGAGGTGATGTCGTTCGGCGAGAGACCCTACTGGGACATGAGCAACCAAGATGTATGTTTCATTTCTTTTATAGAACAAATTATTACTCTCAATAATTGAAAGGTAAAGTAACAGTAGTGATGTGTGATTCTGGACTACAAACTTTTTTTTTTTTTAATTGAGGTTTATATATCACATGAAGGCTGAAACAAATATGATTTATGTAGACAATATTTGACAGACAATATGAAAATCTAGAATCTGAGGGTTTAAAAAAATTTAACAAAATTTTAACTATTGGAAATCTGCTAAATATCTTCACTGAACATGCTCTGTATACTTTATATTCTAATGATTTTTGGCACAGAAGAAAAATCAATAATTTTGATCAATACAGTGTGTTTTTGGTCATTGCTAAAAATATACTTGTTCAACATGAGACATGAATGAGGCATGAGGTTTTGTGGTCCAGGGTGAAATTAAAACTAAACTAAACTAAACTAAACTAAACTAAACTAAACTAAACTAAACTAAACTAAACTAAACTAAACTTATGTTTAAAAATCTAATAAAAAAAAAAGTTAAATTAATAAAAAAAATAAGTAATTCTTTTTTAATTAGTTAAAAAAAATTACAATATAATACAAAATAAAATAATAATGTAAATAAAGTAAAATAAAAGAAAATTTAATTAAACACATTTTTTATTAAAATGAATAGTAAATAAAATAAAATATATAGTACAATAAAAATAAATTATTGAAATAAATAAATAAATACATAAATCAAATTAAATAAAAAATGACTTTAAATTAGAAAATAAATTGAATAAAAATAAATATGTAATTAAAAATTTATAAAAAAAAAAAAAATATATATATATATATATATATATATATATATATATATATATATATATATATATATATATATATATATATATATATATATAAAAGTTGCCAGCGTTGGGTTGCAGCTGGAAGGGCATCTGCTGTGTAAAACATTTAGAATAGTTGGCGGTTCAGTCCACTGTAGTGATCCCTGGTAAATAAGGGACTATGCTGAAGGAAAATAAATGAATATGTCAAAAGTGTATGGTTAACATTAACATGGTTGAGAGGAGGGAAAAGCTGGAAACAAATACCAAACTTTTTGCTTCTGAGTCTTTCTGTCTTCAGATCTTCCAGTATCTGTGTTTCAGCACAGACATTTTTTTTTCTTTCTTCTAGTTTGCATTGTGAATACAGCAGACTCCCTCTCAACTCGGGGGATTTTTCACAAATCTTGCCAATGCAAACACAAATTCCCTAAACCTTTTAGCATCCACTTAACACATCACAGATGCAAAACGAACCCCGAGGAACTTTCTGACTGCAACGAATGCCGAACTCACAGAGGAAAAAAATGAACGGAGCATTACAGTTGAAGTCAAAACAATTTGCCCTCTTGTGATTTTATTTTATGTTTTCCTTTTCAAATATTTCCCAAATTATGTTTAACAAAGCAAGGAATTTTTTACAGTATTTCTTATAATATTTTTTCTTCTGGAAAAAGTCTAACTGGATTTATTTCGGCTAGAATAAAAGCAGTTTTTATTTTTTTTTAAACATTTTTTAAAAACATTTTAAGATCAAAATTTTTAGCCCCCTTAATCATTTTTTTTTTTTCAATTGTCTACAACAATTCATCATTACACAATGACTAAATTACTGTAATTAACCTGGTTATGCCTTTAAATGTCACCTTACCTGAATACTAGTATCTTAAAAATATCTAGTTAAATATTATGTACTGTCATCATAAATCAGTAATTAGAGTTATTAGAAATTAGTCATTAAAAGTATTATCTTTATAAACGTGTTGAAAAAAGTCCCATTTCCGTTAAACAGAAATTGGGCAAAGAATATACATGGGACTGATAGTTCAGGAGGGCTAATAATTCTGTATTCAGTACCGTACAATATTTTCCCCAAAAATAAATTCTCCATTGCTCAATATGGGGCATTGTTTATCATGCTGACATATTTAATTTAACTGTAGTTGAAAATTATATACTGAAATATTCATGGAATATGAATGACTTGGTCTATAAATCAATCCGATTCTGTGTTTATAGTGCACCAAAAACATGAACAGACCAACAAAACTCCACTTTTTTTCTCTCTTTCCTATATGTGTAAATGCTTGATAGTTCTTTTTTTTTTTTTTTTTTTGAAAGCCTATCACTTACTTCGTTATCTGATCTTCTGGAGTTTTTAATGATCATCCAATCCCGAATTAGCATAAAAAGATGATATCGGCATAATGAAACAGCAGGACATGTGCAGCGCTCAGAGCTCACATCTCAGCGCGGCGAGAACAGCAGCTAATGTGAAGAGCAGTTTATCCCTCCTCAAATATTTAGATTGATGTTTGTGTGAACGAGAGCTCGGGATTAGTATGCGGAGGGTGGACGGCGGGTTTGTTTGCTCGTTTGATGTTTCGCTTGTGGCAGACAGAAGTGTAGAGAGAGAGGAATATTAGAAGAGAGAGAGATGAATTTGAGGAAGGACAAACAGACCACTGTTAAATATATTCATGTTTTTTTTTTTTTCATTTCTGTCTTTCTTAGATGTTTCTTTATATGATTATTATTGTACAGCTTCTATGCAGAAGTTTAGTTTAGTTTGGTTTAGTTTAGTTTAGTTTGACTTGATTTGGTTTATGCTTTTGATTTAGATTAGGCTTTTAGTTTAGTTTAGTTTAGTTTAGTTTAGTTTAGTTTAGTTTAGTTTAGTTTAGTTTAGTTTAGTTTAGTTTAGTTTAGTTTAGTTTAGTTTAGGCTTTTGGTTTAGATTAGGTTTTTAGTTTAGTTTAGTTTAGTTGAGTTTGACTTGATTTGGTTTATGCTTTTGATTTAGATTAGGCTTTTAGTTTAGTTTAGTTTAGTTTAGTTTAGTTTAGTTTAGTTTAGTTTAGTTTAGTTTAGTTTAGTTTAGTTTAGTTTAGTTTAGGCTTTTGATTTAGATTAGGTTTTTAGTTTAGTTTATTTTAGTTTATTTTATTTTAGTTTATTTTATTTTAGTTTACTTTAGTTTAGTTTAGTTTAGTTTAGTTTAGTTTAGTTTAGTTTAGTTTAGTTTAGTTTAGTTTAGTTTAGTTTAGTTGAGTTTGACTTGATTTGGTTTATGCTTTTGATTTAGATTAGGCTTTTAGTTTAGTTTAGTTTAGTTTAGTTTAGTTTAGTTTAGTTTAGTTTAGGCTTTTGATTTAGATTAGATTTTATTTTAGTTTATTTTAGTTTAGTTTAGTTTAGTTTAGTTTAGTTTAGTTTAGTTTAGGCTTTTGATTTAGATTAGGTTTTTAGTTTAGTTTAGTTTAGTTTAGTTTAGTTTAGTTTAGTTTAGTTTAGTTTAGGCTTTTGGTTTAGATTAGGTTTTTAGTTTAGTTTAGTTTAGTTGAGTTGAGTTTGACTTGATTTGGTTTATGCTTTTGATTTAGATTAGGCTTTTAGTTTAGTTTAGTTTAGTTTAGTTTAGTTTAGTTTAGTTTAGTTTAGTTTAGTTTAGTTTAGTTTAGTTTAGGCTTTTGATTTAGATTAGGTTTTTAGTTTAGTTTAGTTTAGTTTAGTTTAGTTTAGTTTAGTTTAGTTTAGTTTAGTGTAGTTTAGTTTAGTTTAGTTTAGTTTAGTTTAGTTTAGTTTAGTTTAGTTTAGTTTAGTTTGGTTTAGGCTTTTGATTTAGATTAGGTTTTTAGTTTAGTTTAGTTTAGTTTAGTTTAGTTTAGTTTAGTTTAGTTTAGTTTAGTTTAGTTTAGTTTAGTTTAGTTTAGTTTAGTTTAGGCTTTTGATTTAGATTAGGTGTTTAGTTTAGTTGAGTTTAGTTTAGGCTTTTGATTTAGATTAGGTTTTTAGTTTAGTTTAGTTTAGTTTAGTTTAGTTTACTTTAGGCTTTTAGTTTAGTTTAATTTATTTTCGTTTAGTTTAGGGTTTTAGTTCACTTTAGTATAGTATACGCTTTTAGTTTAATTTAGTTTAGTTTAGTTTAGTTTAGTTTAGTTCTTACTTTTTTGTTTTGAATGTAATTGGCGATTCATTGGCGACCCCTGATAAATCAAGAAGTAAGCCGAGGACAGTAAGTCATAGAAGGCCAGTTTCATGGCGGCAGGCCAGATTGAACATTAGTCCTCTCCTTGGATACATTTAATGATGATAAATAATTGTATTACATTGCTTTAGTGTCATCTGTTTTTATGTAAATTTGTTTACAATGACAACTGTGTGTGTGTGTGTGTGTGTGTGCGTGCGTGTGTGTGTGTGCGTGCATGTGTGTGTGTGTGTATACAGGTGATCAACGCTATAGAGCAAGATTACAGGCTTCCTCCACCCATGGACTGTCCCACTGCTCTCCACCAGCTGATGCTGGACTGCTGGCAGAAAGACCGAAACGCCCGGCCACGCTTCACAGACATCGTCAACACACTCGACAAACTTATCCGCAACCCCACCAGCCTTAAAGCAGTTGCCAGTATACCTACTATGTGAGTCAGACACACTCATCATGCACACATTTCTTTTATTTTTTACCATGTTAAAGGTAAGATGGCATCACTGACTAAATTTGAAATGGCATTATTTAGTTTTAATTTTAGTAAAAATTCACCACATGATAAATAAATTGTAACAATAAAACCTAGAATTGGTCTGAGCAATAGTTAGTATTACAGTAGTAATATTTCAGATTTTTTATATTACAATAGTAAAGAGATTTACTGACATACTCTTACTTTAAATTCACTGCATAACACCAGTCGAATGTTTGAAGTAACTCATTTTTGTGACTAGACATGACTTAATATCACAGAATGAAGAAGAAATCATCATGCCTTATAGTATTCAATGCAATGCTAAAGGCTAGGACAGTTAGCATCATATTAAAATATATAGAAGAACACAAAAACTTAACAAATACTCAAATAATCCATATATTGCCACAAGTGTTTGTTTATTGTCTTCGTGTTCTAACAATTTATCCATTTCTGTCATTTTTATTGTCTTTTCTGTCCTGCAGTGAAAGGGTTGTTGCTAGAAGGGATACAGCTATGGCTGGAAATTAAAGAGAATTATTTAAATGATTTATTAAATTACTCCTATCCTAAAAACAACTATCACAGTAATTTATGTAATTTATTAATGGCTACCCCCAGCCTAAACCTAAACCAACCCCTCACAGTAATGCAAAAATATGAATTATTGTTGTACATTGTCGCAAAAATTATGCTGTATTGATGTCATGGATATTTACATTAGATGTCGCCTACCCTGTCTATTGGAAGGAATGCGTCAATAGAGCTGCGATTTCAGTGCAGGGAAGCCATACCTGCCATCATTCGAATCATGGATTTGGGGGTGCGCGCAAAGTGAAGAGCTGGGGGGTGGGGGTGAACGCGAAGTGAAGAGCTGGGGGGAAGGTGTGCATGGGAGTTTCCGGGAAATGGGTCTAAAATACGGGAGACTTCCTGGAAAAACGAGAGTGTTGGCAGGTATGAGGGTAGCACTCCTTTGAAATGAATGCAGAACCATGGTGCAATGGGGGATTGTGGCCATCCAGAGCCAAATATATACACAAATATCCAAGATCGGGAGTTTTCCCGGTGGTCAGTATGCAAATATATATTTTTTTAATTAGGACAATTATAATTTTACACAATTTTTCTACATGGATTGATAAGTGATCGCACGGGTATTGCCGACAAAGAGCTTGTGTTGGGTGTTTATGTGCATGGAAATGTATTATCTTCTCCCCTGTTGAATTTGATCTAATCCGTGTCCTAAAACACATCCCCTCTTCCTGGTTTCACTTCTCATACTGACAGAGGAGGCGATTTGTTTGTGAATGAATCTCTGTTATTAATGACTCATTCACTTAGCCGACAATAATTCAGGTTTCTATCACCACAGCATCTCGTTGTCATATTTCATTTAGATTGTTTGCTTATTTTTTTCAACACAACTAGCATAAGCCAAGTATTTAGTGCAACCTGGTGTTACTTGGCCTTATGATCAGGGCAGTAAGTGACTATTATCATCAATACTTGTCTAGCACAAAAGTTCGTAACATACAAAAACTTAATAAACAAAATCTTACCTATGAAATGTTCTGCCTTTGTGCTTTGTTTTCTTCGTTTGCTCATTACTACAACCTTACACAGCGCTAAAGTCTAGCATCTTCACATTGGCGCACTGTCTTGACTAGTGCGGTTGAATGACATTTGTCCTGGGAGCATTATACAAACGTGGCGGCGCTATTAATGCATGTTCAGGGTCTGTATCTGATATCTAGTGTGAATATCTATGTATTGATGTGATTATTCGTAGCTGTATCCCATATCTTTTCTTCAGTAATGTATGTGTGGCGATTTTGCGTGAGGGTGCCCTCTAGTGCCCAGTATGAATGAAAAGTAAATAACATTTCAATGTATGCTCGCAACACTGTTTTAGAGGTCTCAAACTTTGAGTAAATTTCTTTCTGTAAGTTTATTTCTAACCTGCTTCAGGAAATCTGCTTGTGTATTTTATATGATGCTGAAAAGATCGATTTGATGCTTTAGTTTGTTTGAGTATGGTTGATCGTTTTAGGATAGTAGGCATTTAGGAGCAAGGTAGAAGACCTTTTTTGTAAAATATAAAAAATTTTCTCTTAAAAAAATTTCTCTAAAGATAAATAACTTTTGTGTCTCTCCTTGGGTACATTTGAATCATCATTTTATATATATATATATATATATATATATATATATATATATATATATATATATATATATATATATATATATATATATATATATATATATATATATATTTTTTTTTTTTTTTTTTTTTTTTTTTTTTTTTTACAGTAAATACTACAATATACTGTGATACACTTTTAAGCCTATATCCCCCATCCCCATGTTATTTGTCTACTCTTCTCCTCATTCATTATTTTTCTGTCTTTGTTTGTTTGTTTCTTTCTTTCTTTCTTTCTTTTTTTTCTCCTCCAGACCATCCCAGCCACTGTTGGACAGGTCTATCCCAGACTTCACCACCTTTAGTTCAGTCGAGGACTGGTTGGCCGCTGTCAAGATGTCTCAGTACAGAGATAACTTCCTCAACTCTGGATTCACGTCCCTACAGCTGGTCACTCAGATGACTTCAGAGTGAGTCTGAAATACAGCTTCTTTTCCTTGAGTTGGAAATACATTTTTTTTTTATCACTAAAGCTGAGAGAACCAGGTCATATTAGCCTTACACAGTCAACTAGTAAGCCAAACCAAAGCCCTTTTGGAATGTTTTGCTAGTTTACTTTAGTTCAGTTTTTCAGCGGCTAGTCAAATGCTTTCCAAGCTCTAGCCAGACTCAACAACAATGCATATCAGGTCAAATTTGACCCCATCAGCTGAACTACAGAGGCAGACATTTGAGTTTAAATGTTGTACTTTACTAAATGTGTAAATATAAATCCCCTATAACTATAGCTCAGCTCCACTACTTTTCCCTTTGCCTATAAATAATTGTGCTTTTGTTGCCCAGGGACCTTCTGTAGTGGAAAAACTTAGCAATTTTTTTAAGGAAAAAAGTTAGGAATGCATAGGAAAATTAGGAACTCTCAAAACAGCTTAGAGCCATCTAAAGCACTTAATAAGCTATGTAATATTCATATATATATATATATATATATATATATATATATATATATATATATATATATATATATATATATATATATATATATATAGTATAACAATAAACAATAAACAGGGGGCAACAAATTCAGGGGGGCTAATAATTCTGACTTCAGCTGTTGATCAGAATAACAACACACACGAAAATAAGTGTCGTGACTAGCGGCACAGTGAGGAGATTGTAAATAAAAAATTATGTAAGGATGTCCCCAGAGTGGCTTTTTGGTTTCTTTTTATATGAATCCCAGCCACTAGCACCCCATCTGAAAGAGAGGGGCAATGTAGTCATTCAATTTCACAATTTGTTATGCTGCAATATGTATTTGAATAATGATGGTCGGTTCCTTTACTTGTAAGCTCAGATTTGATTAGCATCGTTTGTTTGGTTTACAGAGTTTGAGGTTTACTGTATCATTATTATTCACACCATACAGATATTGATCTACCTTAAAGATTGCTTCGATTGTTCAGCATTTATCAAAATCCTAATATTCCTAAATGGATGGTAAAAAATAAATAAATAAATAAATAAATAAATAAATAAATAAATAAATAAATAAATAAATAAATAATTATCAATACAGAATAATATTAACATTATAGTGTGATAATTATTTTTGCTGTATCCCCAAGCCCTACGTATAGGTATCTCACTAAGCTATTGATTTATTTGGCAAATTATTTATCATTAAAACAATTAAAAGAAAAACATTCTTTCTAAATATCACCTCTGTGATCATGACCTAGAAACAGAAAAGGGCAGACATAAAAAGTCCTGAACTACTAAAGAACAGAGAATATGTAAACAGTGTGACACAAATCAAATCAAATCAAAAGGATGAAACACACTTCCTTCTGTTCTGCCATAAATACACCCCAACAAGAGAAATATTTTTGCCCCAATTTGAAACATTGACTAATTCATTTTTAAAAGAAATGACTCAGAAAAACTTTACCATAAACTCTGAGAGGATAAATTGACATCTAGACTAGCTACACAATATGTATACACCCTACACACCATAAGAAATGTTTGATGTAAATTCAGGTATCTAATTTAAATAATCTAAACGTTTTATTTTGTAATATTATTATTATTGAATGTGTTATCTGATTTTTTGTCATGTATTTCTTGTCTGCTGTACTACTATAATATTTCTTTTAATTGATGATGTTAATATATTACATAGAAAATGCTTCTGCAATACTGTATTCAGTGTCATGCCAATAAAGCGACTGGAACTTGATACTTTTTTCCATGATACCTTTAAGATAGCATCCATTCTTAGCTCCACACTCACCAGCATAAACAAGGTTGACCAACTTCATCAAACTAGTCATACAACTAGTCAATCACCCAAACCAGCTTGGAGCATCTAATGGACATCGTTCTTTTTACTGTATTTATTACAGTGACTCATCATACAGTAGTTACTAAAAATCTACCCTGCTGTTGTTCTGTACAACAACTGCATGTCTTATTAAGCTCTCCTGTCTCAGTATTTGTTTATTTTAGATCATGTCTAGCGCTCAGTGAGTTAGTTTGTTCTGTGTGTGTGTGTGTATGTGTGTGAAGAGTGATTAAAGCTGGTCTCAGATTTCCAGACAGCCATTGATCACAGAATGCCTGGCGGTCCGATATCTCTGCAAACTTGTTTAATATTGATTCCTAAATCATACAGTAGGATTAGTGCATATGGCTGCGGTGTGTGTGTGTGTGCGTGTGTTTTGACTTGTTTGATTCGCTATCGAGCGAACAGGTGGATATGCTGTTGATGATGTTTAAAACACGTCTCCTGGTGTTTTGTTCATGGCGGGAAGCGTACTGCGAGGTGTAGCATTTCTGACGCACTGATTAATGCAGCCGGCGTTCACAGAGAGGGTCTGCGCTTAATTAGCAACATAAGTATAAGCCCACGCATAAACAGGAAGTTAAATGCAAGCGGCCTTCATGTGCTAATGCTGTTTGCTCTCACATCCATAAACCTGTGGGGGCTCAGTGCTGTTCATCTCTCTCTCTTTCTCTCGCTTTCTTCTTTGAATGGTTGCTATATTGATAGTACAGACTGTTCTCATTCAGAATAAAGGTTCTTCTCTGAGAGTAATGGAGTAAATTGAGCGTTTATTCAAAGTTGCTCTTTTGTCTTTGTAATTTAAGGAGGCGATGAAACGGTCACCTAAAATCACATGCTGTATCAGACCCGTCTTGATCTTCTTTGGCCTTTCAGTGCGCCGACTGTTTCTCTACTTTAACAGCAAGAGCTCCTTGTCTAGACAAGCTCGTGGAGTGAATCTTTTCTTGTGCCATCTGGCAAACAGCTTTTAGTGGATTTCAGTAGCACTGGTAGAATGATAATAAATAAGCATGTTCATTAGCGAGGAGGCGTTAGCATAGATGATAAAGAGTGACAGTGACAACAGGCTGCAGATGTATTATAGCAGTGTAATGGGCCTTATCATTAATATATGGAATAACAGCTATGTTGGAGGGCACTTGTTGCGCTGTGTTTTGAAGTGTGAAAAAGATTGATGTTTTCTGCAGTTAGCAGTTGCTATTGTGTTTTATTGCTACTTTGTGTTGTTGGATCACGCTAATCAAGTCACATTTATGTCTGTGGGGTTCATACAATTAAGATTGTATCAGTGGAAGTCAACAGGCAGGACAAAGTTTCATTAATGTGATATTAATGTGAAACAAAGCTTGACATGTCATGTGTCTACATTTTTCAACATTTGTAGCTATGCTAATAGTTATGTATAGCTATGTTTATTTGAGGGTTAGAGTTGTTTGAAATTAACAGTGTTGTCATTAGCCACATTTCCACTGTCGGGCCAGTGCAAGCTTGAGATTTTACTGGGCCAGGCCAAAAGCTTGGGAGTCATATCTGTCCTGTTTTTCTCGAGATTCACCTGTATTTTACAGTTTTATCCCGCTATCATCCTGTAAAAGTATTTTCCCATACTTCACCTGTATTTTCAGTCTTTCTATAAAGGGTGACAATAAACATTAAAGAGCCGATCTTGCCATATCCTCATTCCGCAGAACCAACAGGGACCACCCATTGCTCTTAAATGTGAGTCTGTTCTGTGCTTTTGTTTTATTTAGGCATGAAAACACGTTGATGCTGGAATTCCCTTTCCTTTTCATTACACGTGCCGTGGCTCTTTTCTTTGCAATCCTCAAAACAGTCATATAGTGACTATCAGCTGACGCGCTCCATAGTGATAAATAGACATCGTTTTTCAAACGGATTTTGTACATGCGATTTGAAGCAGAGCGCAAGTCTGGGTTTTGGGTGCGTGTTTAAACAGGCATATAAAATAACATCAAAAGATGTTGATTTCTGTGGGTTTTTGTTTTTCAAACAAACTAACTAATTTTATTTTGAAATTTTGAAGCCCTTCTCCCTCACACTCTGTTTCAGGGGGGAAGGGGTAGGGGTACAAAAATAGAATTGGGATTGCGCCTTAATATTATAATAGTGTGAAGTAAAGTTGAAAGAAAAATGAAATTTCTAAAACAATTGATGATCAGAGACAAGTGCAACAGTTATACTGCACGAAAGCAGTATAAGCTTGGCCACATAGAAAATGGTCCATATAACTCGATAAAATTGCTTGATCATTATTCGAAATGTTAAGATGATGTAAGTACATAGTCAGCAAAATATATAACAGATCTAGTGGTTTTTGGATAGTTAATAAAATAAAGTGTATATATATTGTGCTTACAAATTCAAACAGTGACTTTTTCGACCAGAGATTTCAAACTAAATTCTTGGAGAGCCGCAGATCTGCACAGTTTTGCTCCAATCCTAGACAAACACCAGTGATGCAACTAATCAAGGTATTCAAGACCACTAGAGTCTACTTCTATACTAAATAGCAAGAGTCACCAAACTTGTTCCTGGAGGGCCGGTGTTCGTCAGATTTTAGCTCCAACCCTAATCAGACACACCTGAACAAGCTAATCAAGGTCTTACTAGGTATACTTGAAACATCCAGGCAGGTGTGTTGAGACAAGTTGGAACTAATCCCTGCAGGGTCACCGGCCCTCCAGGGCCGAGATTGGTGACCCCTGCTTTAGGGTAAGCTAAAAGAGTATGCAAGCTGAGTAGTATGTCAGAGTATTTAGTAGAATACCCAGATGACCTACTACTGCCGTCAACAATCTGAAGTGCGCAACCAATGGATGCTATGCTATCCTATAATGCTAAGTGAGACAATTTGTGAATGGGGTGAAGAGATACAACTGACACTGGTAGGTAATGTGACAATGAAAAATGGCGGATGTAGTATGCCCGAGTTCCATTTATTATACTACTCACATTCATACTGTATAGAACATACTTTTGTAACAGGCAATTCGAGCTTGATGAGTTGGATGAGCAATGTTTGATTATGGTTGATGAAAAACTTCAGAGCTGCAGCCTTCCAGAAACTTTAGACTCTTGTTGGACGGTGTAAATTTGAAGGTACTGTAGGCCCAATGCTAACCATATGCATTGATTCTTATTGTGTCCACAGGGACCTGTTAAGGATAGGAGTGACTCTAGCCGGCCATCAGAAGAAAATCCTTAACAGCATCCAGTCCATGCACCTGCAGATGTCTCAGTGCCAGACGGGCACTGCGCTGGCATGACTACAGGGGGCGCCAGACGATGGGCTGGGCAGCTTGCGGAAGAATTACCAGCGGGCGAGCCCAATCCCATCGGAGCGCGCCAGAATAGAGACTATCATCCTGATCTGAGTACGCCTCTCAGGAGAGGAACCATCATCCCATTTCCAGCAGAGCAGGACGGGGACCCGCGGGGACATCGTCCGTTTGTCTCTTCGGAGCTACAGGGAAAAGCGAAGAAGTGGACTCTTTTTGTCCCCTTCTCATAGTTGTAGTTATCTTCACAAGAAACCGCAGTGACTGTTCAGATCCCAAGCATCGTTTTCGTTTATTTTCTCGTTTCTTCCCACTATTAAACATCACTGCTTCCCACTTACACTACCTGTCGAACTCGGTATGGCTGACGTTTGCCAAAGGACATCCCGAATGCCTGCGTCCCGCTCCCTGGCCATACAAGCGTAAATGGTGTATATCTTTAAATAAATATGAGTATATCTTCAGAGTAAAACCTTCATATTGAAGGTGAAGTGTAACGGACTTCTATGTAAATACTCTCTTCTTCCGCTTGCATTTTTGGCAATGTTGCGCAACTGGACCAGAACCGCCGATTCTGCAGGACACGAACAATCCGGGATGAACTTTTGATTCTTGTCGATGTTGTGTAAATATCAGTTAGTTGTGTATAAACTAGAGCTACTTTAGGACGAAAAAAGCTACGCATTCAGGCCACTAAACAGTGTTTATTGTAGGTGTTTACCACGCTGATGAGCACTTACGTGTACAGCTTTTCTTTCTTCCACCTCTTCTTCTTCTTCTTCTTCTAGTCGTTCTTGTTAGTTTCGTGTCGGAGTGTTTGAATGCGTCGACTAGCGTTGGGAGGGTGCGCCATTGCCGCCTTAACTAGCTAGAACACTTAAATGTAGTTCCACTGTTAATAAGCTGTACTAATGTTGGTCTTACAGGGTCTTAAAAACCGCTAATCTGTTTCAAAGCACGTGTTTACATGACGAGCTAATGAAAAAGGGAGGAAAAAAAGAGGAAACGCTGCCCTTCACTGCTTTTTCTTTTTATTATTATTATTAGATATTTTCAGGTCGATTCACTCTCTTTCGGCTCCAGATGTTTCCAGATGACATTGCTAAATGCGCTACATGTTCTTTCGTGTCACCAGCCCTCCATTTATTTGCGTGTGTGTCTGGATTGAACATCTGTGTGACCCTTTATGAACAGATGCCTAACGCCACCCCATTGAGCACATTCTACTTAAGCAGTCAATGAAGCACTGGTGAACACACACACTTACACACACAATCACAGGCTGCTGTTAGCTATTGGCTGATCGTCTTTGGTTGCTGTGGAAAAATGTCATAATTAATTAGTAAAATGTTATAAAAATTATGTAATAAAAAATAACAATATTAATAATAATACTAATAATAATAATAATAATATTGTTGTTTAATGAGAATGAGAATAATAATAATAATAATAATAATAATAATAATATAAATAATAGTAATAATAATAATAATAATAATAATGATGATGATAATAGTTGTTGTTGTTATTATTATTATTATTATTATTATTATTATTATTATTATTATTATTATTATAGCCCTATACAACATTTACCAAATAAAAAAAAATAAATGTATCTAGTTTATTCCAGTCGTTCCATTCCAGCTGTTTAAATCAATGCAGACGTTGCATTTAATATGAAGAAGCTTTCATGTTGCATTTTAAAAAGTAGTGTATATTAATAAATTGTGCCAATAAATAGTTGGTCTTCAGAATAAGCTAATAATAATAAGTTGAGCCAGATTGTAGTTTTAAAATTATTATTATTAATAATATAATGCAGTGATAAAAAAAAGACCTAAATATTTAAATGTCAAGCTTAAATGTCTTCATCTATTGGGCTCTATTTTAACAATCTAGGCACAAAGTCTAAAGCACATGGCGCAAAAGCATTAAGGGCGTGTCTGAATCCACTTTTGCTATTTTAAGGACGGAAAGATACCGTCTGTGGCCTGGCGCATGGTCTAACAGGGTTGTGCTTATTCTCCTAATGAGTTATAGGTGTGTTTTGAGCATAATGTGCATTAAACCAATCAGAGTCTCATCTAACAGTCTCTTTAAGAGTCAGTTGAGCCACGCCATGGCGCATTTGCTATTTACATGGCAGACTTTTTAAGTGGAAACATTTAAATGTTTCACTAGTGAGAAAACCGGTAAACAGACCATCTGCAGCATGAGGATAAAGAATGAGCCTTCTCCATTCAGCCTCTTTAGTTTATCTTTACTTTTACTCCTTTACTTTCATGGATAGAGAAATGGTGTTGTACACTCCAATGAAGACATCCATTAGCCTACATATTTGATTTAGTTTGTTAAGTGCAAAGATTTGTTTCAAAACTATTTCTAAATTCAATTCTGATATCCAGCTAATGAATAAATATACAATAATAATGAAGTGTGAGTTATATCCAAACACACACCCTATTCTTATGCACCATAAAACCCGACAGGTGGACAAATCTAGACTTGTTTTTATAAAAACAAATATAAATAGGCATAAAATAAATGATATTGCTTATAATAATAACATTATACAAATGCAAATTGTCATGAATAAACTAAATAAAAAATCCCTGAGATGAAGAAGACATGGAGGCAGAGGTTTTTATATTTAATATTGAACTTTAGAAAACCTGTACAATAGCACCAACATCCCTCTTAACTTAAAAAAAAAAAAAACGCAAAAAGTGCAAATTAAATATTCATCAAAGGCGGCAACACCAAAGCTCCAAAAACACAAATTTATTAAATTAAAAAGTTTGACACAAAGCCTGTATTGTTTCGAGCCACACGGCTCTTCATCAGACAGTGAACTTTAGACCAGCTTTCAGTTAGTCAATGGCAAAGTCTATTTCAGTTCCTCAAAATAGCAACGCGCCAACAATCAGCCTTAACTCACCTCCTTTTTAGACTAGCACACCCATAAGTCCACAAAGTGGCGCAAATGGATTTGCTAATTAAACAACATGGTGCAAAACATGAAAATTAGGGTTGCGCTGGTCTGAAAATAGCAACAAATCACGCCAAACACGTCTTGCACCTTATTGTGCAAAATGTATGATAGGGCCCATTGTGCTTTGGAATACAAAGTGCTTGCAGCATTTCTCATTTGCAGGTTGCTTTTGATAAAAAATGTCTTGTAAATGAATAAATGCAGTGAGTAAAAGGCTTCAGGTTTTGGGTCACAATGGCTAAAAGCAGCTCAGCATGATCTCATGAAGTTTAGCATTAAAAGAACAGCTCGAAGTACAATTTAAACATAAAGGTTTTAAAGGTTATTAGCTGTACCATTCATTCGTCTGATGGGAATATCTGCGTCTATGTGTGTGTGTGTGTACTAAATAAGCTGCTCCATTCCCAGTAAGTTAATGAGACTCGTGGTTTATGGTTATTCTCTATGAACAACACATACACATGCACACATAATCCATCACACAGTTATATCCAAGGTGTTGCACCTAATTGGCTACAATGAATTTCACCATGGCAACCAAAGAGAGTGTATTGGCTCTTTGTTAAGGATGACACACTTTTACAGCTTCTGCCAAGAGGCTTTTTTCTTTTATGCAAACACACACACATGCACAGACACTTCAGCTGAATTACATTGAAGAAAGCGGAGCTGCTCCTTTTGGCAAGACACCGCAGGTTAACAGAAAATAAAAAAATAAAAATGTCATTACCATACTTTTCCAGTTGATTAAATAAATAAATAAATAAATAAATAAATAAATGAATAAATAAAATGATAGCATGTTTTTAAGTAAAATGTATGTTTAAAAACAAGACATTATTTACAGAGTATATACAGGAATCAGTTAAATTCAATACCATTTAAGACCTTTTTTGACTCCTTCCATACATTTTAAGAACTTAAAACAACTTTAGGTTTAAACCAGAAACACTGGCAAGATTTTAACTTACAGTATGTTTACAAAATATTAATGTAAGAAGCTAATCCAAAACTAAAACATTGTTTATATACGGAATACACATCTATTAAATCTAGCTAATTCAGCAGGTTGGCACCTATAGACTGATTTCACTCGGCTGCCATTTTAAAAGTGAAATCGAGGCTGCGGTGGGAGGAAACCCGGAAGCATCACCTATCACACAGGAGCGTTGTGTACCTGGCTGTATACCTTATCAGTGAAGACTTCTGGGTTTCTTCTCACTGCAGCCTCGCTTTGGTGTTTTAAAATGGCGGCAGTGTGAAATAAGCGTATAGAACTGCAGTAATAATGTTGTTAACTTGGTTACTTCAGGAAACAAAGCAGTATGAAGTCAAATCTAGTAGGATTTCAATGACTTCATAACTTACACAGCATCCTGATATTCTCAGATTTAATGCAGGCAAACTTTAGCATTCAACTCTACATTGCATATTCAAAATTTATAATAAATTTAATACCTTGCAATATAGCATTTAACACTTTTTAATACTAAGGGTCTTAAATGTCTCTTAATTTATCAACTTTGAATACGTTTTAAGACCCCTGGATTTAATTAAATATGCTTTAATTTGCTTACATTTTTAGTACAAAAGTATAAAATCTGGAGGAAGTCAGGTCAGAACTGGACATTATTTTATTAATATTCTTTTGACTTTTTTGAAAGATTATTAAATGTATTATTTTTATTTATTACTATTTTTTAATTGTAATTCAAGTTTTTATTGTTTTTATCTTGTACATGGTTACATGTTTATATAAGTAGGCCTATTGCATGAAAGACCAGAATACAAAGCGGCTAAAATAATATCAAAATCAATAAAATAATTAACTAATAATGAAAGGTTAAAAATATTGTGGTATGCCGAGTTCAGACTGCATGTATTTCAAAGTAGTTGTGTCATAAGCTTTGTTTCCATCCACCTATTTTTATGTGTATTTATGTGTCCGGTTATCTTCTGAAGTTATTTAATAAATGAAAAAAAGATTCACGCAGCTTCTCCTACCACAGTAAATTTCATTTGTATTGTTGATATTTGGCGCCAGTTAATCACAAAGTGACGATTTTGTTCTCTTTGACTACTTAAATGGAAACGCTGCTTTATTTACACGTCTTATATGTGATATTCTTGTTTTGCGCATACATTTTATTACATGTTTGAATGAAAACATAGCTACCGATGTTTTCACACTGCATGACTATCTAGGCTAGGGTTCCGTCTGTGCTATGTTTACACTGCAAGATGGATCGACAGGGGGTTTTACACTGCATGACATTACATTAGGAAGAATCGCAGACAACTTTGTCTCGATCCACAAACTACGTCTCACAACCGGACACATGCGAGAAGTGAAATGGAAACAACACAACGTCATGTCTTATATCATTCGTTATTAACTACATAATGAGAAAGAAGCCTTGAGTGGGGTGGAAAAATTAAATTATACCTGGGCTTTGAAGGGAATTAGTAATTTTACTTAACTTTTTTCGGTTGGGATATTTCTCATGTGACACGTCAAAAAGACAAAAGTGCTCCTAACAATTTGCAACTAGTTTTTCCTCCATTTCTTGGCTCCAAATAAACTAAAAAAAAAAAAAAAAAAAAAAAAAAAAAAAATATATATATATATATATATATATATATATATATATATATATATATATAATTTTTTTTTTTTTTTTTTACTTCTCCCCCAACCTCCCGCTGGGAGATTTCTCATTGCTGTAGGTAGTCGCCGATGTTATTTTTTTCATTTCATACAGCATGATTTTTGGCGACTTATCTGCAATTTTCTCAGATCGCTCCTTTAACAGTTTACACTGTATAATTGTTACTCGCTTAAATGAGCACTAATTTGCCTGTAATTTCAGGCATTTCTGTGCGATTTCTCAAAACCCAGAGTCAAAATCTGGGCTAAAATCGTGCTGTCTGAACTCGTCATTACATGATAGAAAAGGAATTTTGATATACCTTTTAATCACTTCGTATTTCTTAAAATTCTGAAGTTTTCAGCATACAAAGTCTGGAAAATTAAGTATGAATAAGTTGCCCTGTAAATATCATAATATCACTAAAAAGTGGGTCATTTTGAGAAATAAAATGCAATTATTTGACTAATTAGACAAAATGGGCTTAAAAATATGCATAGTAATTGAAATCTACAGACTAATCTACAAAAAGCAATACTTAAAAGCGTGTTATTTTGGACATTTTCATGACATGTGCTGGAAAGAAAAGCTCTTGCTAAAAAGCCTGTAATCTGCTAGGTGTATTTGCCAGCAGTGTCTGGTCTTACTCCAGTGCGGCTCCTAGCACGAGATGAAGACGTGTGTGTAGAGTAGCGGAGGCAGCTCAATTAATGTTCATGAAGTCTC